TTTCCCAAGTGCTTACAACAGTTTGTCATTCTAGAAAACTACTTCATTAAAGTCCCAAAGTACTGAGATTCTATAAGAACTCCTCCAGTTACTCCCATTCCTATCAATCAGTGGTTTTAAACTATGAAAAAATGCAACTCCTTGAACTTGTGATACAGATATAAGGAACTGTGTGTGTCACTCATTCCCATCATTAAGAAATCACCCAGACCCCTGAGGTGGCTGAGGAGTTTGCCACTGGGTCCAGCTGTTGAAGATTTTACTCCAGCTAAGTTTGTAAGAGCAATCAAAGATATTTAGAGTCCAGACATGGGAGCTGTCATAGAGCAGGTGAGTTTTGCTGTCAAACGCCTGTCAGCAGACCCTGTATAAGAATCACAGCGCTACTTTTGCTCCTGAAGTTCCAAACCTGCTATCTGCAAGATTAAAACTGGGTTTTTTATAGGTAAAACTGATCTGAGAAATTTGAATGTGTTGGGCAGGCTTATAAAAAGGTAGAGGGTGGGGTTTGACTGTCCTTTTGGAATGCTGAACACATGTAAAGGATGTTTCTCACTCATGTAGGAGCATCCTTGCATTCTGCTCACAGACAGGTGAGCTGTGCTCTTTAAAACCCGCTGACAACTCAGAACGTGGATCCTCTGAAAATTCTCTGACCAATCCTGTATTTATTTAAGCTAGTCTAAAACTAAACTAAACTAAACCTGGCTTACAAGGTAAGCTAGTTTTAAGTAAGCTTACTCTAGAATAAAACTGCTGTGTAAAAAGGATTAGTCTAAATTTAAAGTAGTCATAACTTTATTCTATGGGGATCCATTTCTATGGATTATTCTATGGGGATTATCCACAATGAGGAAATAAATTTCTTTTGAAAAGTTGGTCGTTAGGTAAAAATCTAATGTATGGTGGAAGAAGGAAGACAGGGCAAGAAAATGGGATGAAAGAAAGACTTCAGTTATTATTCAGTTATTTTAAATCCAGTTTCAGCGAGCTAAATCTCCAGGCAGAATAAGTCTTGTTATTGTAGGCAAGATGCAGTGTGGCAGAAGAGGTGGCAATGCACTGAACACAGAATCGTGCTCCTCCCTGTGTTCAAATGGCACACAGAGGCACCTTGTGTCCTCAGCACTTTAAAGGCACAACTCGGGGCTTGATGAGCAACTTGTGATTGCTGCAGTGTCCTGGACTGCAGCAGGTGTGCAGGCAGTGATTTGGTGGCCTGTGAGAATGGTTAGGGATGATTCACCACCACCTCACTAAAAATAAGTGCACTATTTAAAGCAGAAAGAGAGGCTTAAAATGGTAAGTGCTGCAGGTGCAGCTTTTAAGCATATAGACATTTGCAAATTGAAAATAAAAAGCTCTGTTTGTGCCACAGAATTGGGCAATCACAAATGGGCACTTCTTCAGTCTACCTGTATTAACACATAAATTTGTTGTTGCACCTGTCCTGCAGACAATGTGTAATTCCGTAAGAACAGCTACAGGGCTTTATTTATTGGTATGTTCAAATGAAGTATTTCACATTTAGGGTAAAAGGTAAAATGTTATATTCTGCCACGTTCCCGAAGCTGGTTTGCTTAAAGGCAGCTTTATTTCTCCTTGTACAGTTTTTGATTCCCAAATGTGTGTAGGTCTCATCTGTAGAAGAAGACATTCTTTGCTGCTGTTCTGTTATTGTGTACTAGCAACAGGTTTTCTGACTTTGACAATGAAGGCATCCTACACTAACAGATGAAGAGCTGAACCCACCTCCTATTTGGTGACTTCCAGTTTCTGTAACTGTAAACCTAGTATGAAAGTCAAAGCATTTTTAACTTCTAGAGCTGATATAAAAATTCTATGCTGTTTTTCCAATCAACTGAAACCAGTTCAGACTGCCCTATATACCACTTGTCATTACTTATTTCATTAGAAATTTGTACATCCAAGAGCATTTCTATGCAGAGTGGCAAGCATTCAAGCCTGACTCATTTTCTAAATATATCAGATATGAACCCCCTCAATGTTCAAAAGCATTTAAGTGTCAACTTCTGAGAGTCAAGTTATTCTCTTTCTTTCAGCATCTTCCTTCAGCAACACAAAGCCTGTGTTTGCCTCAGAAGTCCACGAGTGCCTTGTCCTGACTGCAGAGTCCCTGCCCTGATGTGGCTCTGGGAAATATCAGCCTCATTCTCAGGTTGTCTGTCAGGATGAACTGGACACAACCCCACTTTTTTGTAGTGTGGTTTTAAGTCAGGGCAAGTGGTGTCAGAGCCAAGTGCAATTTCTCTTGCCTGTATTCACTTCTCACAGCTCTACTGAGGTCTCACTACCAGTGGCCAGAATTGGGACATGTCCCTCTTATGGTTTCTCTCTGGCACTGGATTTCCCATGGAGCTTGGAACCTGGAAAATGTTACGGTGCTGCCAGTGGTTTCTGGATTCTGGCATCACTGTCATACAATGGTATTATATCCAAACATGTTGGTTGTTAAACAAAAATTTTAGCAAGGATTTTATTAAACTACAATACCAGATTCTGAAGTTTGCTTTCTCAAGTGTGAAATACTAAAGATCACTGTAAATCATTTGCCAAGTGAGGAAGCTATTTTTCACCATATTTTCCATATATTTTCCTTCATATCTTTCAGTAGAATGGCTGCAATCCTGACTCATTTTAATGGATCTGAATAAAACTCTGAATAACCTATCAGACTTCGAACTACTGTTTGGCTAAAGTAGTTTTTTAGCTGTATACTCCTGCATAATTGAGTAACTGAAAAGAATTTTGCTTTTTAAAAACTTTTTTTTTTGTACAAATGAGTACTGTCAAAGGAAAAATTAATGAAAATTTGTTCTTTTTAGTGACCCTTGGTGAATCATAAATAAAAGTAGTTTTAACATCCTTAAGAAAAAGTTACGTTTAACAGCCTTTAACAAAGGACCTTTATGGAGAAGTGACATTTTTTAACAAGGGTTAATGTATATACTAAAAAGAAAGCTCACCAAAGATCTAAGGTCCATGAGTGGAAAAAAAAATGGTTAGACTATAAAGTCAGGCTGTTCAGGCATAGAAAGAAAAAAATTATATTCTTCATCAGAAAAGGAAAGAAGGCAAGCAAAATTACAAGATGATTAAGTAGAAAAACTAAACAGAATACTTAAGGTGTGTTCTCATAGAAATGGAATATTCAACAGTTTGTAGTCAACAGAAACCAACTGTGTAAGTTTAAGCAGTACTTGCTCAAGGACAAAAAGAAAGTGTCAGAAGATAACCACAACCACCCCTAATACATGTCTTTGAGAACATCCAAACGTGTTAAACTACAGGGTAGACAGGCAAAAAAAAAAAAGCAGCAAAGCAAAACTGTGTGTTAGTCTTTTTCTGAAAGGATGCTGCCAGGAGAGTTCATTTCTCCATTAATAAACTTGTAGAATCAAAAGGGAAAATGATACAGAACAGGAAGGGACTGAAAAGGAAAGAGGCTGAAATACTAATAGAAAATAAAGGCTCCTCTCCCATTTGATTTAGCTTCAGTGCCAGGAAACAGCAGGAAACCCAGAATTTATCATCATGGCAAACCCTCTGTCGCTCTGTGAGCAGGGCCTGAGCACAAGGCTAAAGCTCTCCTGCAGTCCCTGTGCTTGGTGGGCACTGTGGCTACAAATCTGGGATAAAAGGGAGAGCCAGGTCTCTGCAAACACAGAGCCTGCCCTCCAACTCTTCTGCAAACCCGTGTCCTGTTCACTCCTGAGCTCTTGACAATCTGGGCCTTGGACACAGTTGTGTTCCCAGTGTTTTAGAGACAGCAGGTCCAGCAGCAGCTCCCCCCACATGTGCTGTCCTGAGGGTGATTCTGTTGGCCTGCCTGTGGGGGGTCCCCAAGGGAGAGGCAACAGCTCACCCTATACTGGGCAGCAGTTGCATCTCCATTGATGCTATTTTTCCTGGAATAATACATATTGAAAGAGATTGTCCCAGAGTAAACCATTATCCAGTATTTTAAAACCTCAAAAGGCTTCAGTTGGGTGTTAACAGAAGTGACAAGCACTTGGAGAAGTTATTTAATTGTCTACACAAAGTTACATATAGATATGAGTAAATAGGGTGTGTGGGAGTAAAGATTTAAGCATGAATAATATTTACAGTAACTAGAGATAACATTACTAATGTACCCACAAATAGAAGTATATATTTATATATTTATATATTGTACTTAATTAGATGCTCTCTTAATGGAAAGAAAACCAAGACTACTCATGTTGTTCATTTCTCACATATCCTATTGTAAATGTCTTTAAAGGGACCGACTGATGCATGGAAATCCAGAGCTAATCTGTTTCAATTAAGTAATTGACAGTGGCAAACCTCTGAAGAAGTTTAGAAGAGGACAGATAAAAACATTAGGACATTAGGGCATGGGACTCAATCTCATGTAATTCATAGAACAAAATTATACATTTTTTTCTTCTTTTTTTTTTTCCTTTTTGATTTCTATTTAGCGGAGGTTCCACCAAGCCACAAATGAGAAATAACAGAATTTAGATTGTTTTGTTTTCTTCTAAAGATTCAAATATAAACTTCAAGTGCAATTCAAAATCCAAGTATTATTTATACTACATACTTCTTTCTATAACAGAACTTATCTGCAGGTAGTTTAATCATATTTGAATAGATTCCTCCTTTTTTTGACAAAAGTTATTGTTGATGAAAAATAAAAATCTAGAAAGAATAGTTTTACATAGTGAGATTTCAGATGAAAAATGAGGATACACTAGTGCAGACACAAATTTGCATCTCCAACTAGATGTACTCAGGGATGCATTTTTTTTTTTTTAGTAAGAATCCCATTCAGAACATTGACTTTTAACGATTGTAAAACATTATAGGTGTTCTTCATTAACAATTGTGAACAAAGTCTGCAAAAAAGAGCTTTCAAATTAGCAAATGTTTCTACTATGGAGGAAAGATAATATTTGACAGGAATGCAAAGTAACCAAAAATTGAATACCACTAGACTATTTGTATGGTCGTAGAAACCTGGAAACTTTCGATCGCAGTAGCTTTATAAATGATCTTGGAAACATTTCTTTTGACTCTTGTGCTGTGTACTTGAAATAGTTCTGAGGGTGTGCCAGTACATCAAAGAGAGCTTTAATCAGTTTCTTGTCCTATGGAAGACAACACAGATATGTTAGATAAAAGCAAGGTTTGGATTTTGTGTCTGCATAGGTTTCAAAACTGAAGAACAATCAGGTCTGTTTTGCAAAACTTGAGTCTGGGTAGAAGAGAGTAAGGAAACTGCTCCATGTTGCAGCGGGGTTTCAGAGGGATGAGTCTGCCTGCTGTGCTGGATGCTTTTTGCAGGGCTGCTGGCAGGACCACTAACCACAAACTGCAGATGCCTGCATTAGAACTGCAAGCTGCCTCTGACTGTCCTTCCCACCTGTTCCATGCTTCTGTCCAGCCATCCCTCCATGGATGGGAGACAAGGCTGGTCCTCAGGGATGCTGAGCTTTCTAAGGACCTTCTGTACCTTGGGAAAGCCTTGATTCAGAGCCTCAGCTGAGCCTGTGCCTGGCACTGTGCACTGCAGCTGGGACCTGAGCAACCCAAAAGCTGGAGGGAGAGAACAGTGCTGGGCATGGATGGCCAAGGGACCTGGCCTTCCCTCAGCTCCTGTCCTTCCAAGCCCTACATTTACATGGCTCAATTTTGCCCTCTGACCAGCTGTTTTTCAGTTTTAATTAATTAGTTATTACAGGTGTTGCTTGTATCTTTGGAAAACCATTTCTTATTGAGGCAAGATAGTGATTTAGGTAAATATATTTTTTAATGCACGCAAACTTAATAAGTCATTTAAACATTTAAATGCCAGACTGAGGCTGAAGAAGGTTCTTCAAACAATAGGTCCTTCATTCTTGGCAGACAAATTTTTTGAACATACAATCTTATTAATCATATTAACATATATTTCATTTAGTTCCTGCTTCCACAAAGGACATAAGCATGTTCTGAGCCCAGCTCAGTTACTTGATTTTGGGCTGCTTCAAATACCAGCATAAACCTCAGAACACAGAGAATTGAATTTGGGGTCACACTTGAGCTTTAAATATGACTGTATCAAGGTATTGAGAACTATTTTAGGAAAATGCTTAGGAAAAGGAATTCTTGGTTGGCCTCAAAAAAAGCAGAAATTTCTTACCTTTAGGATTTCTTGATGGTTTTCTGATGCATATAATCGGCCATCTCGAACTATGTCTTCTATTAGTTGTTGGTAATCCTCTGAAAAATAAAGATCAAGTGAGTGATTGTGACATCCTTTGGGAGGGCAATAGTCAGACATGAGCTAGATCTCCTCTTGAAGACAGAGCTCAGAAATTTTGCATCCAGTTAATTATTCAGTGTCTCTCAGGTTGCTGTATTCTAATTTAATCACCTTAAAATTCTCTATTTCTTTATAACAATGGTTTTGAATTATTGCTATAAATACTTACATCCTCAAAAAACTACTCCCTCCAAATAATAATGCTGTATTATCTCTACTCTAGAGATGAAGAAACAGGGATACAATATAACTTTTCAAACATTATATATGTTATATGCATGTTATTTCAAAGTCTTTGCAACTAAAATTAAACGAGGTATATAAAGTTTTTCCTCATTCTTCTATCTCTGCAAGCACTGTGAGAGAGATTCTAAAGGAAAATTTTCTGTAATTCAGCTATAACACAAAGATGAAAACCAATTCCATTCTCACCATCATAAGTCACATAGGGAACCTGAAATCCTTTGCCACTGTTTCCTTCATTTGACTTGAACTGAATCCAGAGTTTCCTTGATCTTGAGGTAAATGCAATAGGTCTCTCATAGGTCTGACATGTTTCATACGTAGTAATTGAAGTAGGAGAAGCTAGAAATAAAGTTAAATGATGCTCTTTATATAACAATTTTTGCACCCTTCCTCATCTAGGGGTCAGGCATGTCAAATTGACAAGACACTTCTCAGCTGAAGTGTCCTGAGAGCAGAAGCTTTTGTGACCGAACGGATGTTGTCCTTATTTGCCTATAAAGAGAAGCAGGTTTATCCATAGAGGTATAATTTTTGATATTTAAAACTACTGTCAATATTAATTTTTTTTTTTTACTACTCTAGCATTGTATCCCAGAGTGCCCATATGCTTGTCCCAGACAGGTAAGGACAAGTGAGCTGCATGCCAGGCAGACATGGTAGCCAGCCAGCCAGCCAGCCAGTCCCTCACATGGCCAGTTTGGGGAATTCATCTGATAGCAACAAACCACTTATAAATAGAAATACAATAAAAGCAGAAAGTAATGTTTGGCATGGTAATTTTGAAGAAAAGACTGTCACATCCAGCAGAGTCAGTGATCCACAGAAGAGTTAACCTGGATGTGAGGAGGTGGTTGGTGACAGCCAGCACAGCTTCACTAAGGGCAAATCACGTCTGAAGTGTAACTTTACCCTGATGTGACTGGCTCTGGTCACTGTTGAAACCACAGTTTGGGGTCAGAAGGACAAGTGATGCGTTTTGTTATAGTGTTTGCTTTTAAAAAAGCTCATCTGCACAGGTATAATTTCCTTCCATCTATAGTGACCAGATGTCTTCTTTCTGACATACAGAGATGTCAATACAGGCCCTCAGGGATAAAAAATTGTGAAAACTGTTCTAGCAAATAAAATACACCATTTTTGTGAGTAAATACACTGTTTTGAACAAAAACTCCATATGAACAATTGCCTTTCAGGTTTAGTGCTTCTTAGCAAAAAATATATAGCAAAAAATCACCAAAAGGATGCCCACATCCTCCAATGCAAAAGAGGAGTGCATTTCATCGGGTTCTTAACTTTAGAAGTTGTTGATTAAATTCATAATCAAAGACACAATGCACCCCCTCCAATCCATAGAAAAGCAGGATAACTTTGGATTTCTTGAGGGTGTCAGTTGTACCAACACACTGCCCATATTTAGCAATAACTGCAGCATATATATATATATATATATATTTATAAAAGATAAGTGAGAGCACAGTTGTACAGATTACAGAGATAGTTCTCCAAATATAATTTATCATTGTTAATTTCTAGAATGGCAGTGATTTATCTCATGTGGTAACTGGGCCAGACATAAGCCCATTAACTGCTTTGTGATTCAGACAATAAACTTGAACAATTAATATCACACCAATTACTGTTATTGGTGTGATGTTAATTGTTAGAACACTAACAATTAAAGCAAGTTAGAACACTACCAATAAAAAAAATTAAAATTAAATTTAACCTTTTAGGAACACTAGCTACACTGAAGACAGTCATCCCTTCAATATGAACTATTCACTCCATGAGTTTGCAGGAAATATAACCCATGTCTGGCAGCTTACCACTTTTTCTCATTACTAAAACATCGCCACATTCATCTTCAATTGGGAGAAATATCTCAGGTACTACGATGAGTATTCTTCTCTTTGGGGGTGGATTTATATTCCAAATGCATTCCACATTAGCTGGGTAGTCTCCAGGATAGTTGGGTGATTCAATGTAGCCAGTGTAGTCCCCCAGTTCTCCTCCACAGTGCTGGTCTAAGGAGAAATAAATTAGTATTTGTGTTAGTTGATAAATTCATCTAAGGTGTTTTTCTGGATGTGTCATGAGCAAGTCTAAACTCCTCCTTGTGGCTTTAGAAATGCATACATTCTCCAGCTTTAAAGGAATATTTGATCCACGAGGTTGCTCCAGCTGATTGCAAAACCTTAATCTCCGGTGCACAAACCGATTCAGTGCTTCATCCAGGCTGCTTTAACTTTGCTTGAGAAATGCAGGTAGATAAACATGATCCAGTTGTGGTTACTATGGATACTGTGCTGATAAGCAGAAGATATTCTGCTTGAACTCACTTAGTTTTTAATTGGCTTTAGCTGAATGAGAGTGCTGGTCCCAACAGCTGGCCTTACTTAATTACAGATCTGCCTTGCTTCATCTTAGATTAAACCACTTAATAAAAGATCTCTATTGAGGGATCAGTTTTTCTTTCTGAGTTTTCAAAAATCATGTTGAATTTGGCACGAGTTACTTATGGTTGATCTCCCCAGGCCTACTCATGCACATAAAATTAGATATATGTTTAAATATTTTGTTTAATTCAACCCCCAAGTAGCATGCAAAGTCAGAAACTGGCTTGAAAACTGAGATGACCCAAGACAGCAGAATAACAAGGGTGGTTTTATTTTACAGGAAAATCAGCAAACTTCTTCAAATTCCATACAAATATATAGTTTACTCAAATGACATTAGAAATTATGAAGGGCTTATAAAACACATGGCACACAATCAGACTAAAAACTTACAGGAGATCTGCACATGAATAGTTAGTTAGATAACATTGCTTAATTATTATAGGAACATTCTCTTAAATTAGCATGGTAGAGATGAAAAAAAATGCTTGCCTAAAATTATCAGTCATTCACAAAGGATCAAATAAAACTGTACTGAAATCCTTGGGGACATTTAAATTTTTTAAGATAGGAGGCTGAGTACTGCAAAAAAGCCTCCAAGAAGATCTCACTATCACAAGCAAAGCGATACCTGGCAATTGCAGCATGCATGACCACATCTTCTAACATTTTACAATTATTCTAAAATGGCAGTTACTCTGACAGAAGATATTCTGCTCTACAGAGACACAGAGAAATATGCATCACTGTTACACAACTTACAGGATATGGGAAACTAAAGGCTCTGTAGTTTTAACTTGTAGATGGAACTCTGTGAAATCATATTAAATCTAAAACACTCATATACCTCAAGTGGTACTTTCCCAACTTTTTTTCCTCATTGTTTTCCCAAATTTTACTATTCCCTCTGGCAGCAGATATTTGCTAACTAGGAAATACAAATCTGAAGTCCAGCCTGACAGATGCAACCTTTGAGCTGCAGTTCAGATCCAAAGACATGCTCTGTGTCACTGATATAAATGTGACTTACTTTTGCAGTGTGTGACATTGGTGGAGCCATCAAAATCTGTACTGGTGTTGCCAGGGCAGGTGATGCAGTAGTTCTGACCAAACTCAGGCTGGTATGTTCCCACAGGGCACCGGATACATCTGTGTGTTGTGGAGTTGTAGTAGTGTCCAGGAGAACAGTGAACTGCAAGGTAGGAGGTGTATTATTTTCAAAAAGCAGCAACCTCCAGTGCAGAGAGCTTTCCTCTGCCCTGCGTGGACATACCTGGTCTGCAACATTCTTACTAGGCTATAAAAAGCAGAAAAGACACCAGCTCCCTGTATTTCCCAGTATAAAGACTCTTCCAACTAAAACCCAGAGCAAAACCCATATGAACTACAAATGTGTGATATGTATCTCTCACTGTATTTAATATATTTGTAATAAATGGAAATGGATGTAAATCCACCTCAACAAGAAAAATTACTTTCACAGTAGCAGGAGAGAGGTTTCCAATAGCGTCTGTTTGCCAGGGCCAGCATGTCATTTCAGTAACTAAACCAAAATGCATTTGGGCAGATTCCTTCTTCAGCATTGGCACTGGAAGTTGACATTATGGAATACAGAATGTGTTGCACCCTTAGAGTTTCTGCCTAGCCCATGAGTAATCCTTAACTTGGTGTAACTTTTGTACTGTTTAGTTTTTGTGACACAGTAAATAAAAATATACAAGACATGAAAGCTAAAGCATCGTCTAGTCCAAGTTTGTGTTATTTATTGCCACACAGTGGGGCTGATTCCCTTACCAATAGCAGTGCTGACCCCCTGCCTGCCTGTGGTAAATTCCAAAGAAAACCATAAACCCTGTTCAGCCTGCACAACCCCAGGAGACCATTCCCAGTTTACAGATCTCTTGACCATTTGATTTAATCACACGCCCGTGCAGCAACAATGTTTGTTTTGGAGCCTTCAGGAGCCCCTTGGCACTGATGATAATAAACCAAAGGCCCAGAAGTAGGAAGATGAATTGTGGAAGGATTTTGAATTCACCTTTGGTTTCACAGTCTTGAAAGGAAACAGCACCTTCGTATTTGGTCACAAGCCCACCGCCACAGGGAAAGCAGAGGGTCCTTCCTGGTTCAGGCTGATACGTACCAAGAGGACAGACTGTACAAGGTTTAAAACCATCTGAAGAGTAGTGCCCAGGAGAACACTGCCCTAGAAATTGAAAATGATCATCTCTATTAGTGTGTTGACATTTCTGGATGAAGTATAAAACCCACAAGTAGTTAGCAAGGCTTTCTTTCACTTAATCATGTGACATAAGACAGCTGCAGATCAAATTCTAATCTTACCTGCATATTTTGTATTGTTCCTGTATCTTCTTCCTAAAACCCCCACCAGTAAATAGAACCAGTTTCATAATGTGCTTTTTGGCAACTATGATTCTGTTTGGATTTTTTTTTTTAAGAAAGGGGTCTACTAAGATTTCATTAGAATATTTTGTACTTTCACCAAATCTTTCATCTCAGTATTTCAAAAGCACTTTATAGGAAGAAATGGAACTGAATCATGCCTATGAAGCAAGTTTTTGTACCTCCAAGTTAGAGATGTAGACAGTGGATTGTGGGGTTTATTTACCAGATGGGATGGTAGCAGTCCAGCACCTTGTCTATGAGAATACCTAACACCAGCAGCTTTTCACATAGTTGTGAAAACTACTGCTTGTCAGGTGCTCCTCTGCCAGGAAACAGAGATTTGTGTAAAGCAAATTGCTTTGTGAATCAATCTACTGACAGAAGTTTCCAAACTCGCTCTCCAGGCAGTTTCTGATAGGAATTTGTTTGGCTTGGTTCTTGCTAGCTTCAGTACTTTCCTCTGTGAACCTGAGAACCAGGATGTCAGGTTTTTCAAGACTGTGGCATGAATGTGTGTCTCCACCCCACTCCAGACTGGGGCACCAGCACTGTGAGATGCTACATATTCCCTGAGGTTGCCTAACCCCAGTACTTTATAATTTAGCTTCCCTGAGAGCTGAACAGCAGACAGAAACAACTGGCTTGCAAATAAGAATGTTTTGAGAGCTCTAGGTATTGTTGCAGTCTCATAACAACCCTGATACTTGCTAGGAAATGTTTGGGGCATTCAGTATTTTGGGTGCTTGGCATGAGTCAGGAACTTTGGTACTTAGGATGAACTAGAGCTCCTGAGTGAAAGCCAAGTCCAAGTTCTGTCCCCACAAAAGCCAAACTCCTGTGGACACCTCTGGGGTCAGGATCTCCAGGATCTCCTTGTGCTCCCATACCAGCTGGCTGAAATATGACTGTACAAACTGGCTGTAGTAACACAGACCTCAGAGAAATAATATGATGTTACTAATTTGAGGACAATTTTGCTCTTGTTATTAGGAGCAAAACTGATCTAACTGGCCTGGTCCAACTGGTTACTGGAACCCAGACTGGAACGTGTTTCCTTGTAGGATTGGTGACCCTTGTGGGGGACACATGCTGGAGCAGGCTGTGCCTGAAGGACTGACCCTCTGGAAAAGTGACTAGGAGAACTCTTGCCCATGAGATGGAGTCACATTGGGAAGTTAATGAAGTCTCCTGTGGGAGGGGCCCCATGCTGGAGCAGCAGCAGGAACAACATCAGTGTGATGAATTGACCATAATCCCCATTCCCATCTCCCTGCACTGCTGGGTGGGAGGAGGTAGAGCTGGAAAGGAGGGAGGTGTGTGGAAGAGGTGTTTTTAGGAGATATTTTATTTCTCCTTGTCCTGCTCTTATTTTGATTAGTAATGAATTCACTGAATTTTCCCAATTCAAGTCTGTTTGATATTTGGTGAGGGGTCTCTTCCTGTCCTTAAGTCATGAACATTAAACCTGTCTCTCCCCTCTCCAGCTGAGGAAGGCAGTGAGGGATCAGCTTTGGTGGGTGCCTGGTGTCCAGGCAGGGGCAACTCATTGCAGCACGGAATTCACTTGCAGCTACAAGTGATTTCTGCACAACAGGCACTTAAAAATCTCTGACACATGGACTGTACATTCCTCACATTTAGAAGTGAGGATTTCAGTGAAAGTTTATGGGTTACTGCACAGGCATTTCTGCTCTGGAAGATAAGATGCAAAAAGACTATTGATTACTGGCAGTGAGTACAGACAGCACCGAGTTTCTAACAAAGCCACATGTGCTGACACAAATTTTGATAAAATCTTTGACAGGGAAATTCATGAAGTCCAAAGTATATTCTCTTTTGCCGCTTCCAGAGGAAAAGGGGAGAGCTGAGCAGAAAAACAGACTGTTTTGATCTGACAATAACCATTGTGAGATGAATCCACTTTGCAAAAATAATCAGAAGGGTTTTTTTTTTGTTGTTGTACAGAATAATAATTCCAATGTAAGCTTTGAAACAAAAGTCTTTTTTTTCTAGTTGTTTTGCTGCTTGTCAGTATGCCATAGACAATCTTTATAAACTCAGACTGTATTTTGATATGCTTTTCTTGTGCTATGGATAAAAACAAATCAGCATAGCAAAAATGCACAGGTGTTTCAAATTTTTTGTCGGATAGTTCCTTCATACAGCAAATCAGCAAAATCTATCATGTGTTTGGACTGGTGACACTGCAGTTATTTTTCATTCAGTAGATGGGAAAAAGTATCAGTTTCTCAAGTGATATTTGCCATGTGTTCTCTTTAGATATCCTTGAAGAACTCAGTAATGTAAATTACATGGATGAGTTTTCAAGTTAGAACTTGTGTAGCAGATAGGACAGATTTATTTCAAAGTCACATAATGTATCTGCTATAAACTAGATTCTGATAGTCTGTAATGAAATGAGGTAAAGAAAATAAACAGTTGTATCTTAAAAACTTAGACTGATCAAGTTACAGTAGAAGCATAAGGTATTATCATCATTATAATTTAGTTTATAAATCATGAAGTTGAATCAGAGATGCTACATCACAAAGTTACAGTGCATTCAAGCAGTGCTGAAAATTGCAATCATTAGTTCTGAGTCTGGGTTACAGATCCCTACAGGATAACTATCTCAAATTGATAATTGCTGCTAATTAGAGCAAGTAAGCTGCATCTCATGCAAAACACTAAATGAGAAGGTTCATTATTAGACTCACCAATACCAGTCCAAAGCAATCCATCCCTTTGGCTCACAATACATTGATGAGTCCTAACAACTCAAGGCATTTCCATACCTGAGGTGAAGCAAAGTGCTTTGCTTGGCTTGCTCATTTCCATCCCATAACTCACACTGTTGCAGCAGATCCCATCGTCTTGTCAGCAATGGGAGCAGATGGCCTGAGCCAAACCATCCATTGCTTGTAAGTGCACAGAGATTTCTTCTATTACCTTTACAAGCCAGAACTGTGGCAGGCTCTCTCCTCTTTCAGCCTCCTTGCCTCACAGGGCGTGCGTGTGGCAACACCTAAAGCTTTTATGATCAAGTTCAACTTGCCTCCACATTCCGAGACGTTGCGGGCGCCCGCTACTCCCTGGCCATCGTTGCTGGGGCAAGGCTCACAGGTGAGCTGGCCTTCTGTGTCCTGGTAGGTTCCTGGCGAGCACGGGACGCACTGCTTGTGTTCTCCGCTATAGAAGGTGCCCGTGCTGCAGCTAACTGAGGAAACAAGGGGGAGCATACGTAAGGATGTTCACTTTGATCACATTATTCACCCTAACATCGAACATTTAGAGAAGGTGGATGTCTTTGGCCCCAGGATTATGATGGCACATATTTTGCATGTGTTAATCCAGGATGCTGATGTAAACAGACCCATCTCCACTGGGGTTTAGGTCAATTTTATCAGAGTGAGGTCCTGCTTCTAATGTTTAAAATATTAAATGGCTTTGTAGTGCACTCAGGTGTTTATCACACATGTGTGTTAATAAAGCTGGGTGCAGTCTTGAAAGAGTATCTTGCAGTTAATCAAAGCAGTGCTGCATAAAGTGTGGGAAGTGTGAGCTTTTAGTTTATAACATGTGCAGTTACAAGTTGGTTTTATGGCAGATGACAACAAAAAGTCTGTCCCCTGAGATCAGTTCTAGGGATTTCTCCACTGGCAATGTATTCCCTGTAATAACTTCTGTAATAATTTCTGTCTCTTGCCACTCAAATACCCCAGTTGTACAGCATCCTAAATACAGATATGAATACACGCGCTTTTCTGGCTTCAACAGGGCACGTAACTGCATTTCACATTTTTCTCTGCTGGGTAGGGGTGGTTAAAATGTCTAGATAATGTCCAGTTTCTAGATACTGATAGCAACAACCTTTCAAATACAGTTTCTATATCACTCTTCCCATATGATGACAACTACTTCTGAACCCACTCACTGGAAGCACCTATCAGATGGGACCTCTTTTGGCTTGTAAGTCACTTGGTATCTCAAAAGCTGGAAAAATAGGTATGCTGATTTTGAAAAGATGTCTGTAAGTGATTAGAAAGCTTGCAGTGCTGAGAACTGCCATTAATAAATTTGCATTAGCACACTGTCCCCAGCAAAGCACTAGAGCCTGATAACATGGGAAAAGGCTTAAAGGAATTAGGTATTTTGCATGAAATAGATTTCTGTACTTTATTTTTTAACTGGACCTCTTGAGCATGAAATATAACATATCCATGGATCATGGATTGTTTGATGGTGAGGAGACTGACACTGATGATATAAAAGTAAATACACAGCAACTAGGCAAACATCATATTATTTTTTTATCGAATTGTAAATATATACAAATATAAATAAATGTAAATAAATGTAAATATATTTTTGTAAGATGGGAGCAACTGGCAACTAACTGCCAACATTGTCTTGTGGCAGGTTTTGATATCTACCACCTGACAGCATGGGAATGTATCCATATTTACACTTCTGTTTTCCTACAACCATCTAATGAATTCCCTTCAGAGTCTTATGAACCATCAATAGTCCATGCATATATGCTGAGTAATACTGATCATTAAATTCTAAATCATTATCTCAGAGATTTCCTCCCGAGTTCACCATGGAAAAGGTAATTTCAGACTGCTTGATTTGGGGGATATGACTGAATATTCGAGCTCTTTGGACTTACCACATTTTCCATCCTGCAGTACTTGCCCTGTACTGCACGCTTCATGCCCTTCAGTAGCTTTAGCTGGCTTCTGAGCCACTTCATATTCTGTCCCAGAAAACTGAATGTAAAATTGCTGTTTATTAATAGATTTCCTCAATGTTTTGATTGCAGTTTGCAGCTTCTGCTCCATCCTTTTCCGAACACAGTCAATGTTACAGGTGTCTAGATGGGAAATGATAACAAAACTAGAAGCAATTGAGATTCATGTTTAAAAGAGGTGCTTAACAAAAAGTTTAGCCTGCATTGCACTATGACACCTCTGTTTGTTTCACTGTCTTGTCCATATAAATTGAAGCAGCAGCTCACTGTATTCAATATCAGGCCTTTCAAAGGGACAGGAGAGTATCCGGAGGTCCACGGAGCAGTTCCATGGCCTGCAAGTGCACACTGAGTGCTGCAGAAAGCATCAATCCCAATGTGCTCTCCTTCAGGTGTGTGTTCAGTCTGCCACCATTAATGCTCCTGAATTTTCTCTGCCCATGCTTTTCTCAGTTGATTAGGAACTCCTGCCACTTCCCTGACCAAAACACCTTTGTGTTAGTGATAAAAAGAAAGGTATTTTCAGGCACAACTGCTGTTTGAATCACTTGGCTAATGATGTGCCCCTCAAGGTTAAGAAATCTGCCTTTGAGGACTGACATCTTTATAGGATTCAGTCCACATTTTCTTTGGCTGGAATTTATAACATAATATCATCTCATTTATAACTTGAGGCAATTACTTTTATTCCAAAGTTTGGTAAGAAAACATGAATTTTTCAACTATGTGATAAAACTCTCTGCTTCACAGAGTAAATATTCAGCAGCTTACATTTCAGAGGTTATTTTTATCATCATTTTTGCAGAACTTCTACCTAATCTTTATGTTCCCTGTACACTGATTAGCACTTCTGCTGTTTAAAGAAATCACACTGGATTAAAGCACATGTCTTAACTCAAGGCCTTGAAGGAATTTTGATGCAGGTTCAGTTTTTGTTCCTTTGGCTTAATTTCATCCCTGGCTCTTTTCAATTAAAGCTCTGAAACTTTGAGTTTGGAGAGGTTGTTGAACAAGGTGTTGTGCTAAAAGGTGTTCATGGCAGCTTGATGAAATAACATCAAAGAGATTTTAATAACACCCCGAGGAACTAAATTCTGATTTCTCTCCACAGACCAATCTTTCACAAACCTGAGACTTCTTCAGACTTCATCTCCACTTCAAACTCTGCAGTGATATGGGACACTTCTTTTGATGGCGACTTGCGGCCTCGGCGTTTTTTCTTGGAAGAATCGCACTTGAGGTTCACAAAGGTCACCTGGCAGTTGTCTGTACAGGGGAACTGACCTCCTTTGCATAAGAAACACAGGGAAGAAATCAAGTAGCAAAGTAGCACGTGACAGGCTAACAGGTGATATCTCACTGGGTTATCATGAAGGCAGTGACAGGCTTCATAACATTTCCTGTGTATTGTGAGACACCTCCTTCGCTGGGCAGTGTTGGGATTGCTCATTTTGCTATGAATGCAGAAGGCAAAAGCACAGCCTGGTGATGCTCAGCTGCACAGTGGTGCCTCCAATGCCTAAAACTGCCCAACCCTTTTTGCACAAGGATTAGAAAGCTCTTTACAGAAATTATTTTAAATCAGCAAATACTATAAACTATATTTGATGGCTGAACAAGGCAAGGGAGTCAATTTCATAAATCTGTGAGAATGTCAGGCCTGGGACTCTATCAGTGAGTATTCTATCTCTTTCAGAAGTGACAATCATCAGATAGCAAAGGCTTTAAAAGGCTTTGATTGTGAGGTTATGAAAGTGTATTGGAAGGTTTTATCTGAGCAAGAATTGTAGTTTGTCACAAGTGATGAACCTTCCAGGTCAGGGAAGACAGAGAAGTTTGTAGCACTCAAGACACCAGAAGGATTTCATTCCAAGGGTGTGGTTACACTATGTAATCTTATTGTTAGACTCAGAGGTTCAGATGACATAACAAACACAAAACAAAGCAAGCAAAGGACAAGGAAATGTATCCAAGAAACACATTCCCATAGTGAGTGTATGGACCAAAAAATTTGGCTTCTATGACTTTAAAAATGAGTCTCATGATCACATCTTATTCACAGGGTAAGCATCTTGATGACTAAGACTTAAGTCAATACTTGTAAAATGAGAGATACAAAATGTAGATTGTGGGATAAAGATGAAATATGAGTCTAAATTTTAAAAATAAAATCTTTAAACTATACACTTTTTTAAAAAATAGGTATTTTTACTCTTCTCTGTTCAGGGCTCAAGTAAGATTTCTCACTCGCTAGTGAAAGTGGTGGTAAGACAAATTCATAACAGAATGCATCACCAGTAGATGTTTGGTGTAAGCTGCTAAGTTAAGTAGCAATTTAACTTTTTTAATACCACATTTTTGTTAATGACATCTAAATCTTATAAATATTTTTTCTAACATCATAACTACTCCCTCTTTCATAACAAAAGATCTAAGGCTGTGTAACATCAGATTTTCATAATAACCTTCCTTTTTAGGGGTTGTCTTTGGTGCTACAATAGGTTAGTAATCCAGCATAAACCAAACAAATAATAGCTTTTCTTTTCTTTTCTTTTAAAAACCTCATTTGGGAAAACCAAACCAAACCAAACTGACATGGTTTCATATAACTTTGCATTAGTCACAGCTTTTTGTCTCAGGGTATTTGTGCCATTACAAGGCCAGAAAAAGGATCAGCTTCATTCCCAAATCATGTACTTTTGAACAAAGATTTTTCAAAGCAACTGGTGAGATTTTCAGCACCCAAGATCCAAACCCAAGGCACTGTTCAGCCACAGAGGGACCCTTGGCCTTAACTTAAATTCAGACCAAATATGTAAACCATTGATTTTTTTTCCCTATCTGCAGCATGAAAACAAAGCATGCAAATGAACAAGAAAAAAAACAAACAAAAAAATTAAGTCCTGTTTACATGCTGGAAGAAACCACCTACCTGAAACAGCCTGCTTCCCAGAATCTTTGGTTTTTTCTTTGCTGCGAGGCCGTAAATGGCATTTTGCATCTTTGATTTTAAAACGAGCTTTCTGCTTGATTGGAGGGGCTGGGGAATCTGTTGATGTAAAGTAAAAAAGCTACCATTGCAACAGAAATGAAATGAGATCTGGATCTTATTTTTAAAAACAGTCTCAAAAGCTTTCTTGTGACTTAGAAAAGAGTCAGCCCAAGAATTACACAGCTTGTGCAAGGGGGTCCATTTCCACAAGTTCGATTTTTAAGAGAGTACCTACCCTTGGGCCCAACCAGGTCAATGAATGTGCTAGCACCATGCTTGCTCTGCACATCTCAGATTTTGGGTGAATTTATCTTTTACTATGAGAAAGATTAATTCCTACCTTTATTTTTTTTCTGGGCTCTCTGTCTGTGAATTCCCATGTTACTTGTAGCTCTGCTCCTGCTAGTGCCAGTAAGGTTAATTTAGTGGAGCTATGTTGCTGGCAACTGAAAACCATCCAAAGGAGCTGCCTCTATTGCAGTCTGTGGCTTGCAAGCTTTATCCCTCAGTTTTAAACCCAAGGCAGCTTTCACAGTCTTGTTTTAAAGGCTGTTATGCAGTCATGCAATGAGTAGAAAATGGAGCTGCTGGTTGATTTCCTCACAAAGTCCCTGGAGTAAAAGACTGGCCTGGATGTCACCTGCCAGCAGCTTTGGGATGCCTGCTGGCCCTGCAGAAGGTGGAGGGTGGTCCCAGGTGATGCCACAGTGTGGGTCCCTCTTTCCTTGGTAGGGCTTTGCTGAGGCAGGACTTTAGAGGTGGCCTGATCCTGTGCCACAAGCAGGCACATCTGCTGCCAGGCTGTGTCACTCCACAGCACTGTACCTCCCAGCACATCCCAGATATATAAGAAATACATGGAGAACTGGAAAATGGGAGAGAAGTACAGCAGGTATGTGTAAGGTGAGCTGACTCTTCCTACTGGTGGATGTTGTTTCAGCTGTTTCTAATTTTGCCAGGCTTCAAGTTTTTGGGGAACATTGGCTACCTTTGATGCCTCAAGATTTTTGCTTTTTATAAATTTTCAATATATTTGTAGCTTTGTAGACCATTAATACATGGTTATATAACTCCTGGTATTTTTCTTACCTTTTCTCTTAGATTTTAGAATAATAAGCTAACCCTACTAATACATATTTGGAATTCTGTTTAGCCTTATTCTTAAGAAGAGAATTCCTGACAAGGACATCTTATTTTCTACCAGAACTTAAGAGACAAGAGAAGAGAGCAAAGAAGCCCCAAGGAGACTGACCCATGGGTGGATTACTGGGGTAACTGATTTCCTATTGGATGTCCCAGCCAGATATCCTAATTAATTAACCTTACAGAATTACAGAAATCCTGTACCACATGTGCACGGAGCCATATTTTGTGCACCTGAAAGCTTTCATAGAAGAATTACTTTTTTACCTTCCCACTTTTTTGCAATAATTACTTTTTTATCTTACACCGCTTCAACCCTGTGGCAAGGCTTTTCCTTCTGTTATTAGGCAAGACCTTAACCCTTGCCTTACCTAGGAATGAGCCTGATGTCCTGCAATCCCCGAGGTCCATGCCCTCCCTCTGGGGCCCAGGAGAGGGGAGCAAGCAGGGCAGACCCACCTGAGCAGCTGGGCAGGGTGGAGTTGCGCCTGGGCTGTGCCTTGCCGTGCTGCACGGGGACGCCGCAGCTCAGCGTGTAGCTGTTCTCTGAGTCTGGGGGACAGAACACAGTCAGCACATGGGCAACAGCCTCACCAAACTCTGGGCTTCAGCTTCTCAGAGCTGCTAAACAATGAGATATTTTAAGTGCTGAGCTTGGATTTTAAGTGGCTGAAATACTTTGCTAAAAACCTTCGACACTTCACAGTGTTGATGGCAAGGTTTGTTTCTTCAAGCACTGGAATGATACATTTCATAAGTGATTTGGCACAAGGTTAGGTGTGCACAAGTAAAAAATATTTTGTGTTTGTCCATGGCAACGTCCTTCTGCTTCCCTGTAATTTAGAAAATAAACCATGTATTTTCATAATAATTTTAGCTTCAGGCTCCAACAGAACTTATTGGCAGAAACAGAAATGGTGTGCTTAGAACTATAACAGTGTTTACATATTACAGAGATAAAACTCTGTCTTGGTGCTTACAATTAGAGAAATGCACAGTTCCACTAATATCTCCTAAACTGGTAATAAAATGTGAATAAAATGTTAGCTTGACTGCATATAATGCCAAGACTAAACATGAAAAGTAGACACCCAAAAATATTCCTGTGCCAGAAGATCTATGAAAAAGGAGTAGCAATCCCCTCCTTCTTCCCTGCAAAAATGTGAAGATGAAAACTACCACTAGCAAATGGTAAAAAATAAAAAGAGGGAGGGGAATGAAATGCCCTATTTTTTATAAATAATACTCAGCTGGACTGAGAGATGCACCCATGTTAACCAGGATGGTGCAGAAAGAAATTGTTATATATTGAATTGCTGTGGCAAAAGGGAAGGCAAAAATCAACAGTTGATTTCAGTGAATTCTTGTTATTTTTTAATACAAGCTTTTTTGTTAGAATTTTCCCACCCTCTCAACTGACGTCTCAAATTAAACAATGAAGGACCAAACTTCTCATGTGAAGTTGACAATCAGCTCTTCTTGATTTAATTTATAATGAGGTTTTGCTCATTTACTGTTGTCCATAACAAAACATGAATGCAAGAATCATGAATGCATTAAGAGAGAAAAGTCAACAAGTCACATCCTAGATGAAGAGGACAAATAATTTGCACAAACCTGGAACAAAAAGAGTATTGGATGGGCATGACAGGAAGCAGCTCTCTATGCCTCCTGTCTTACTGCACACTAGCTGAGCCTTGGGAGTTGGTTTGGCATTTGGGAGACATTTCACCATCTCTGAGGAGAAAAAAAAAAAAGAAATGTAAAACAATTGGACACTGCCCAACCCAGCACCTTGTGCTCACACTTGGATACAATGGTGAGAAAAGGCAGGAAGTGGCAAAAACCATAATGACAGATACAACTGTTTCTGAAATAAGCATATATCTCATAAGGGAGAGCATTTGGATTGGGATGTTGAGCTCGCGCTTGAAAATGAAACTCCTTCACATTTTTAGACCTAAACTCTACATCAGCCTTTCTCTCCTATCGTCCACGTTGGGATCTTTGTGCTCTATGAGCACAATTCTGTGTGCTCATCTTGATCTCAGAAGCAATAGATAACACTAATCACCTGAGAGGTTCTTTCTCTGATTTGGAGGCACAGCTCTCTGATTTAACAGACCAACTACACACTGTGCACAATGGTCTGTTTACTTAGATGACCACTAAAATTATATTTTTAAATTCTGTAACTCCCACTGACTTTTGAACTTTAGCTCCATGCTCTAGCTTCTGGAGCTAGAAAACTTCCCAGCCAGGCAGAGGTGAGGCAGCAGATGCTAGGATGGAGATGGATAGTCCTGCTGGCCCTTTCAGACACTGCTGAAATGCCCCAAACAGTGCTAGAAGGGACCCTGTGCCACACACAGAGATCACAGAGCCATTTCTCATCAGTGCCTACAGCATGAGGCACATTGCAGCTCATGTGAAAGAAAAATCCAGCTTCTCCTCTTGGCTTCACGGCAGGATAAAGACAGAGCACCCTGCAGGTCTCACAAGTGACTCTTCACACTTGGGTAAGGCAGTGCTTGTGTTTCAGCTGAAGACACATGAAGTTTTTGTTAATTGTTGGAGCAGTCTCTGTGTTTCACTCTGAGAAGATGGAATGACACGGATAACCATAACCTCTATTTATTTTATTTTGCCACTCCTTTGGATTGAAGTGTTACTTAAATACATCTTTTCCCTCACAAATGACAAGGCTCATTCTTGGCTGCAGCTGGCACATGCCATCACTTCCAACAGGGAGGAAGAAGCCTCACTACTTCCCTCCTTTCCCCAGAGGGCTCCCCTCTGCACTGTCTGCTGATCAAGTGCAGCTGGGCATCTCTTCAAGCAGCTACTTAAATCTCAGCCAGGTGGCTATAGGGCAGTTCTTGCTTCAGCCCCATAGAAATGCTGTTTCAGGTACATGATTTTTCTCCAACTGTTTCTTGCTACTTCTTCCAAACCTGCTCACCTTACAAGAGAGGTTTGGCTGACATTTGTTCTTCTCACTGCTGACTGTAGTACTGTAAATGTCTTTCTTCCTACCTGTCAGCTTGCCAGCAGACCCCACTGAGGTAGGGGTTGCTTCTGACACCAGAGCTGTAGCAGCTAGACTGGTTTGGGTCTACCAGGGCTTGGCAAAAGCCCAGGAAAGCCAACATGAAACCAAGCAGTTCCAAGCAGTAGCTGGAATGAGTGTTGCCTGATTTGGCTTGAGTGCAGAGGAAGAGTCCCAGCAGCCTCCAGCTGGTTTGTATTCCTGGCCTCACTGGTCATTAAATATAAATATATACAAGTCCCATCAACATGCCTGATGTTCACATCTCAGATATGGGAATAATCATCCTTCACTTATCTCCCTCCTAAGTCTTGTATGCTACTCTGGTGATATCTTTAAGGAAACTATTTCCTTGGACTGAGGAGGCAACAAAACACAAAGTGCCACTGCTGAGCAAAAGAGGGTTTTGTTACTGCAAATGTCTCCAAATCACATGGTATTCAGGATCACTAAATAAAAAATTCTTCCCCTTTTTATTGTGCTTTTGTAACAATTGAGAATACAGTTTCCTCTCAAAAACATTGGTAATAACGGCAGGTGATCAGCAGGGAGATGATGCTCATTTTAAGCCTCACTGAAGTCACCAACGACTAGAGTGTGTATCAATAGACAAGGGTGTTCTATTTCCATCTTCAGCTGAGCATTATAAATAAGGAGGAGAAATTTAGAAGCAGGAGAATATTTTCAATAAAGCAACATTCTTAGTAGGCTGAGAGGGAATATAGCATAAACAGTCTAACTTCATAGCAGACCTCCAAAAATTTTAGTCCCAGCTGCTAGCTTACAAAATCCTTTCCAGAGGAATAACTGGTATATGGCAAGGGAGACCTAGTGGATAACTAAAAACCACAGTGAGTTATTTCTTGCTGTCACAATGCTTAGTTCTCTACATAGCAGGGAAGGTAATAGCCAGGTAAGCAGGAAAGTGAAACACTTAATTGTGCTTAGGAAGAGCATAGAGGCAAAGGCTGGAATTCAGCTTGAGGCTCTCACCCCCACCCCACCTTTGTTATAAAGTGCTTACTATACTGCTGTACCCATGTAAAAAAATGCCACAATTGCATGATCACATGAGGCCAGTGCAGTACTCTCTGCTCCAGATTAAGCAGTGCTTTCTCTCAGTATGTGCAGAGATTCCCTGAAGGGAGATCCCCCTTTTTCTTGTTCTGTCTTGCTCCCAATTAGGTATTAGGTATCATCCCCAGATGTGCCTATGAGAAGTTATTTGTGTCTAAAAAATGTGGCCATGAAAAACCCCAGGTATACTATTCTCATTAAAAATAAAAAAATCAGAATTAAAATCTCACAGAAAATACTTTGGCTGTAGCCATGATCAAGATTTGCTGTGCTTCACATAAGACTCCAGAAAAATAAGTTATCTCTTTAAAGGATACAGAAATTCAGGTCTGCCACAAAGTGGCACTAGCAGCAAGTACCAAATTTTTCTGGTCTCAGGAATTGTGTTCATTTTGATTAATACTTTTAACACAGCTAGTATAAAGTCAGTACTTTATATGAAGCAGGACTTCTTCAGAGATAACTTGAAAAATTGGGGTGTGGTTCTGTGAATGTCAGTATTATATCCTACCATGTCCTACTTGTAAACAGTTAAATATTTTGAATATACTAAATTAGTGTTAGAGATAAATAGAGTTATAGCTGACATTACAGAGATGGGAAGAGGGCAAATTAAGGACAAAAGTATAAAATACCTAAGATGATGATGATGACGATAATAATAATAAACTTAGATTTCTGTGAATGGATTAATAAACTTAAAAAAAACATTCCACACAAATAAAATCTAACATATTGATCATTCATTAATTGACCTAGAATTGTATCCTAGCCCAGGGAGCTCCAAAGGATCAGGTGTTTCTGAGTTTATAAAATGAATGTGGGGATCTAGATTGTGAAAATGCGGCCTCTCTAAAACAAAACCATGGGCTTTTGCACCCTCCTGGAGAACACATTCACCACAGTCACCTCTGAGTCACACTTCCACACTTACCAACACAGTCCTTTTTATTCCAGTGCAGTTTCTTTCCAGGTGGGCAGACACACTCATAGCTCCCCATGGTATTAAGACACCCAAAGTCACAGCTACCATTGCTGATGCTGCATTCATCAATATCTGAAAACATATTTAAAGTTGTGAAGAGTCTTAACCATGTGTATACACATATACTGTACATTAGGACACGACTTGCATAAGGAAACTATTTCTACTGCATCTTTTACATTGGAGCCCATATAAACATGTATAAAGACAGACAGTGCTAAACAACTGTAGTGCATATTGCATGTATTTGTCCTTAAACTGTACAGCTCCTACTCTCCCAAGGATTTATGCATTTGACACAGTTTACTTGCCAGGACCAGTTACACTGAAATTCCTGGATACAAAACATGCTCAAAAGTGTCTGCAGCATCTGGACAATAATGGACAATACAGAAAAATGGCATAAACCTCTGTGAGATTACATCACTTCAGCAAAACAAGGAGGTAAATTCTCCACAGTGATTCCCAGAGTTTCTTTTAGAAGTTCAAGTGAAGGAGGAAATGATGCTTTTGAAAGAAACTAAGCAGTTAAAGGGTAGTTTAGAGTTCCACTCCTTGAATAAAAATAAAAGGTAAAGCTTGAAAGAAGGTGAAGAAGTTATGTATGTTAACACTGATATTCCACAGAAAATATTTTGACTTTTGATGCATTAGAAAAGTATTTAGCCAGTATGAAGTGTATCTTTTTTAGTCCATCCATTCAGCATTCATATACTCGTGCCAACAAGGTCAATCTCTCGTCTCCTCTCTTTCCACCACCAGAAAGAACATTTAATGAGCTGAAATGACACCAAATCAACAGGAGACACACAGAATTCCTGATGCTCTGGCTCACTGGCAGACCTCAAAATTAAGCATCAAAACTAAGCAAGGAGTAAAACTAATGACAGGCCTAAGTAGTAAAACTTGGGGCCTGGACAAGTCTGGATTCAGAGTTGTGATTTTGCATCTGCTCATAATGGAAAAAAGCAGGAGGTTTGGATCCAGTTATGTTTTTGCTCAAAGTTCAGCACTGAGTATTTCCAGTGAGAGTTTTGGTCCTTCTTCAGTCTTACTGAAAAGACTGAAACTGAACTGAGGCTGAAGGTTATTTAAAGACTGAGGCAGAACCCCAAACTTTGAGGCTTTCCCTAAATTAGTGCATTAAATAATTAAGGAATTAACAGTGAAACTGAAGATCAGTCTCTCTACACCTCATATAACACAGGTCCCAAAAACTTTCAGACTCTGAATTTGCATTCACAACTGCTTTTAAGTGGCGTCTGTTCCCAAACTGCTTCCTTAGATGGACTCTTATTTCTCTTCCTGTCTGCCCCTACTCTTATCAGGAATTCATGTGATACTTCTCCACAAAAGAGAGACCAGCATACACCTCCTACATCCTTCTTCCAGAAAAGAAGCCATGCAGAGATACCATTAGCAGTGTTGACATTACAAAATCAGGTGAACGCAGCCCTCAGAAGTGAGGGGCCAGCCTTTGTTTCTGCTACATTAGCTGAACCTCTGATTTGGTCACTGTGGTAATGCTGCACTTCAAAAATATCCCTCTCCTACAAAATGAAACATTACAGGACCAATTCTTTCCAGTCATGCCAAAAAGGTTGAAAGCAGGTCCCCAGAAGATGGGAGGAAGGTCCACCACAGCCTTCTGTTATGCATTTCAGAGGCAGTTTATGCCACAGACTGCTAAGGACAAACGCCATCAGAGCCAAAATATGCAAACTTTGCAAAACTGACTTCTTTCCCCTATTCTCTTTGTTGCTAATCATATGATGCCTCCCTGCAGTAGTGAGTAACCTCAGTCCTGTGGAAGTTCTGATCAAAAATGGTGGGACATTGGTTTTCATTGGTGTTTTTCTCTTGGCAATGCTTCAGCATATTTGAGATACTGAAATTTTAGTCGCACCCAGCTCATGATATTTTAAGTGTATTTTAACATTATGTCTTTATCATCTTGAGTTATAAAACCTTAATCTAAAAGAATGAGTGTCTCCGTAAACAGTTCCCAAAGCAAACAAACACACATGTAAGCAAAACTCAGTTTCCAAACCTCCACAGTGTGTGAGTCCATACAAGGTGTAGCCTTTGTGGCAGAGACACTCAAAGCTTCCAGGGTAGTTGATACAGGTGTGGTCACAGGTCCGTTCAAAGGAACACTCATCTATATCTGAATGAATAGAAAAAGCATTAAGAAATCAGATTTAATCAGGTTACACTGAATGACTGGATTTTCTCACTAGATTGCAACGCCTTGTTACTGATAGAATATACTTTACCATCCCATGTAAAATCTGAATAAAATATCATTCTCATTCCCCTAGTGCCTTGTAAAGAAAATACTCACAGGTACATGGAGAAGAACAAGAAGAGATAATTTGGTAAAACCCAATGAAGGTTGTATTATGTACATTCCCCATTAGATGGCAACCTTTAACTTCTGATCATACTGACCCAGCAGGGCTGGGCAAGTATGGAGCTTTTGGGGAAGTTAGTGGCAAAATGGAAAAAAGGTTTAGGTTGAATCAAGCAATTCCCTCTTTCACTGCCCAATATGCTGACATCCTGCCCAGCAGGACAGGGAGTTGCTCCCAGACTTCTGCTCTGCCTTACCAGACTGTACAGACTTGCAGAGGGTAAGCAAAATACTGCCGAAGAATAAACCCTCATAAGGAATGAACAGGCTGCACCTAGCACTGAAAATATTAGCCCAAAGCCCACATTCTATCCAACTCAAGAAAATATGACCTCTTCCCCTTAAAAAAAGCCAAGTAGCTCTAATTATCACTGCTCAGTAATGTGAAACCCTGGCTTACACAGCCTCTTCCATCCAGCAGGCTATGAAAAAAGCAACCGAGAGCACATTGCTTCCAGGACAGTACAAAGGCTTTGCTGAGCAGGTGCTGTGGAGGTTGATATGACAGCAGCCCTGACAGAATGGACTTGCTGGAAAAATTTAAGGTACCTTAAACAGCAATCTCTGCAAAATAACACTTTTGAGTTAATTTTATTGTTGGTTTTTTGTTTTTTTTTAATAAATCCTCTTCTGTAATTAATTTTTCTACTTACAGGTCAGAAAATGGAATACAATGACATTATTTGAGAGTGGTCATTTCAACAAATCTCATTCCTCCAATGTTCCTGAGTTATAAATGAATGGAATAGCATTCCTATGACAATTTCCACACTTTCTAGAGATACTTTTTAAGAACAAAACCTGAACAACACCATTACAAATGTAACTTAGACTTTCATATTGTGCATGCTAGGAAAGCTGTTGGTGTTTGAAAACACTTGAAAACTCACCATACTTCAGGGGATTCTAACCCAATTCCTATATTCAAGTATTATTTACAAAGTTTTGACATTTCATGAAGCATTCTAAGTCTCATTCTGTTATTATAAATACAAATGCTTACCTTCCAGAACTATAAAATTAAGATTTCTTGTATGAGTACACAAACCCAAATCTGTGTGACAGTTTATGCACAAATTTAGAATGACACATACAGCTATATTTTATATGACCTCCAACTTTAAATGTTTCAAAACATTCCCACAAAAGATAATTCACAAAGTAGGAAGCAACTGTTCAGGCAAATTCATAACATAAAATGAAATAAACATGATGAACAGAAATCTGTGCTGTCCAGTTTTATGTGTGCATCACAATCACTTTATCTGATAAAGTTACAAAAAGATGACAACTGAGCTTTTCTCTTTTTTACACCTATTTAATTTTAAATGCATTTTTAATCAATTTTTAAATACCATCATTTGAGTTCTGAAAGTAATTTCTTTTTAAGGTTTCTTTTATAGTCTTGGAAATGTGCAGCTTTTGAATTCACAAAAATGGCAAACTGTTTCAGCTTTCTCTAAATAAATACACAAAGTAAAATCATTTGGGAATGAACACTGCAGCTATAGTTTAAAGGATTTTTAATGTTTAAGATGCCAAATCATACATCATGGTTTCATTCATGTGTAACCTTGTTCACTACATGGAATTGCAGGAGGTTTACAAAAGCAGTTCATTTTCTGGCCTCTGACTTACCTCAGGAGTCTCTTTTTCAGAACCAATTTCGTATTTCTGAACAGCGATCTTAGCCTGCACTAGTTTAGTCCATAGTTTTATGCACTGCTTTCCCATGCAGAACTGTGTGTTGCTACATATAGGGCTTGTTTGTCTTCCATTAAGGAGGATGCATTTCCCTCTTTGCCCGTGAAGGACAGTCTGCCTGATGACGTGACCACTGCTTGCCAAGTACCAGGCACTCAGGATGGCCAAATGCATTTCTGCTCCATAGCTTTTTCCCCCTTGAAACCCCTCAGCCCCCTCCTGCTGCTGCTCTCAGACACTCAGGCTGCTGAGTTCAGCATCCTGCTGGAACAAGGGAAGCCCCTGCGCAGGCTCCCCTGGCTGAGCCTCAGCCCCGGCAGCTCCCGGCTGAGGCAGGCAGAGAGGGAGCCAGCTTTCTGCACAATCACCAACCCCCTGAGGAATTCAGCACTTGTCATAGAAAAGGCAAAAATATGCACCACATACTCTTCATTACAAGAAACTGGTGGTGTGATACAGGATGCTGAAATCCTCCCCTATTTTTTTTTTTAAACTCTGAAATCTGTGGCTCTGGATGATGTTATCCCCAGGGTCCCAGGAACTTTGAAGCTGGCCCTCACACATCTGTGGTGCTTCACAATACCTCTCCATGTTTAGCCTAAAAGGATATGCTTATTTCCCACCACCCTCATGACACAGGTGTATCTCACAAGACACCACAGAGTTGGGAATTTGACCTTCACAGCCCTGGGTTTCAAATCCTCCTTTACCACAAGAACAGAGAACAAACATGGGGATCTAAACCCTGTCTCCTTTGTACAAGCAACTCTACAAAATCTGGTAGCCTCATCTATTTAAGAGAAGTCAAAAAATACAAAAGCAGAGATGTGGCAGGTTACAGTCACGCTCCCACCACCATGTACACACTCAAACACACAGACATTTAGGTATTGTGTTGCTCTGAATTTTCCCCCTCCCACATCCCAAAATAAATACTTATAAATTAACTTCCTGGGTTTAAGGTACTCTTAAAATTATTTAAAGTTATTAAAATTTATTTTCTAGACTGTTTGGAGATAAAAAGTCAAAATCTTGTGGTTTTGAAGTACTGCAGTGGAAAACTTCAGCTTAAAGGTGAAGTTTGTATTCTATTTTTGGTTGCATTTGGCATAAATTCACATGCAGTCCAAGCTGTCTCCGAACATTTCAGATTTGCTAACGCACTTATCTGACATCAAACACATTTTTTAAATTTTACTTAGCCAAAATTTCATGGCACATTCACCACTGCAATCAGCGTAGGTGACTGTGCCATTTCAGCAGATTAAGAGGTGTCTTCACAGCTGAGCTGTGTGAGGCTTACAGGGCTGAGGGGGCCAAATTCTCTGCTGGTAGCACACAATTAGACTCCCGCCAATTTTTTTTAGGAATACTAATGATACATATAAAATCTAAGAAAGGAGCTCCCTACTTCACAGCAGACCCAGTGGAAGTGCTAAGTTCAGGGGTTGGAGCAGGAGACCTCCAAAGGTCTTTTCCAGTCTCCACCAGGGATTCATGGGCACACTGCCAGTGCCAGAGTTCTCTTCATGATGTCCTGCACTGCTGACAGCTCTCCTTCCAGTCCCTGTTTCAAGACATCAAGGCATCATCTCAGGCTGAATAAAGTCCAGTATCTCTTCTAGCAAGCCATGTTCTCACCTCCAAAGAGAATGTTTGAGGAAACACTCCTTAATTTTTCCCTAGAATGGATTCAACTAAAAGAGATTGTTCAATGGTTTAATAAAAGAGCAGGATTTCCCTGGGGTTTTGAGGGAAGCAATTTTTGGCAGTGGTGGCCATGCTCAATAATATTAGTTTGGCTAGGTTCATATTATTTCAAGTCAGCATTTGGATTTTATTGTTGATTTTTCAATCATATGTAGCTTTTATTTTTTTTTTTCAGTTCAGGCTTTCCCATGTTAAACGATCCCATAATGATCTTTATTTTTCTTGAATGTAAAGATTTTTAGTGGGTGTCAGATTGTCAGTACTGCAAAGTAAATTCTTCTATCTCCAAAAGGGAGCTACCAGAGATCGAATTTCTTCTAAGTTTCCTCAAACAGATGTGTCTCAAAGGTGACCTAAGGGAGCAGGGAATAAAGCAGCTCATTTTCCATGCTCATTCAAGTCCCTGCCCTTTCCACTAGCGCTGCCACTAGACTCCCAATTACAGTAGCACCAATTGTTCTGTGGTTTGTGTGATGTGGACACTGACTCATTTGTGGACATAGAGTGCAGGGCACCCAGAAGCCATCACACAGCAGCGATTTTTGCTAAGCCTGGACCTGAGCTGGATTCCAACCAGCAGCACTGAAGTGAAAGGCTCCTTTCTGTACTGTTTCCAACCCTCAGACACAGTACCCTGTACTCCTGATTGTCTTCGCTCTAAAATAAATTTCTGAGTAATAAAAAGGAACCAGTGATCAGGAAATCAAAGCATAAAGCAGGACATTTCCAAAAAACCATTAGCATTACAAACAAGCAGCCCAGCACCAGACACACCCAGGTGAGACTGGTAAATCCTGGATTTAGAGGTGTTTTAGAACTGCAGACTAATGCGGGAACTGCTGTGACTCCCTGACAGAATGCACATATGCAAACTCACTTGCACAGAGGTGGGATTTGAGGGTTGTGGTTAGAGAGCTGAAGAATTCAATGCCCAGCTTCCCAATTTCACATTAAAAATCTGCTTCAGAAATGAGGATTGTGCCATCTCTGTTTTCCTTAATGTAATTTTGTTAATATTAAGAACAAGTGAAGAAATTGTTTAGAGAAAATTAATGGTCATCTCAACAGCTTTTCTTGAGACATACACTAAGTAGCTACGTCAAATTATGAAACTGGGAGCCCCCTTCCAAAACACAGGTCATATATCATAACTGCCAAAGACTTTAGTCTTGAGCCTGGAGTATTTTTCACCTGATCTGAAAATAAAAGCAGTAAGGAGAGATCACTGTTATTTGGTGGTGCTATTTGTGCTACAGAGAACAAGACAGGAATGGCTCAAAGGCAGTCAACAAAAGCTATAACAGGCATGGGGAACAGAGTGCAGACTGTAAAGGTCCTGG